CAGCTGCCTTTGTCTGGTGTCCACAGCTCCATAGTGACAGTAGTTGACTGTCCGTGGAGTCATTGTAGGAGGACGACCACTGCAGCCCTGATCAGTGCTGCTGTGGCTCCTTCTGGACCTCCTGGTTCCTGCTCACACTGGGCTGCACTGGGTTCTAGCTGCTCACTGGTCTTCTGGATCCTTTTCCATCTTTGTCCAGTCTCACAATCACACGGTTCAGCCATGATGTAAGCATGCAGAACGTTCTGCTGTCCACAGCTCATTTTAGGACCATGTTCATGTCATCATGAAATCACAGGTGGACGCAGTTCACTTTCAGTCATCACAGGGTTTCTAACTTGTGCATCAGTGACCACAGGCAGATTGACTTTTGTTGCACTGAGTTTTATACTTTCATGTAACTGTCAGCACAGTCTTTCTAAAGTTTTTGTTTTTAATTGTTCATAAATTCACCTACATTAATTGTCATCTTGGAAATCTTGCATTCATTGAAAGTTCATCCAGTTTTGAATTATTTAAATTAATCAAAACCAAAGTGACGACCTCTAGTGACACCCGGCCGTCTGCCTGTTGATCTTGAACACAACCGCACTGTTCCAACTAATTTGGCCAGTTTTGGTGAAGTCTCCCCGGTGGACACGTAGCATTGACAGGATATAAACCGTTCCTTCTAACAAGCAATGCGCTCTCGTCTTCCGTCACAAACTTTTACGTGAGCTGCATCCTGTGTGTCGTATTTGTGGCTGGAAAACGAACTTTGGGGGCATTAGCGCCACCTCCTGGGCTCGAGCGTATGCACGAGCGTCACTGATGTACCAGAAATCAGGGAACTGAGAAAGGTGTGAATGAATCTTATTTTTTCTGTATTTACTTAATTCAAACTTAACACATTGAAGTCCCAGCCCTGACAAAGTTGAACGTACTCGAGATCGATCTCAGGAGCACTTCTGGAAAATCAAGTTTTACTCCGACTGAGCGGACGGAGGATTTTATTTCAAGATTAAGACCACAACTGGACTGGGTCTTCCTCGTGACTTGGTCTCGGTTTCGGTGGTCTTCACTGCAACACTACAGCAACCTGATTGTACTCTGGAGCACTAAGGGCTCATGTCATTGGTTTCCAGATCAAAAGTTTGCTCAAACACGCCAACAACAGTTTCCACAGCCAGAACAAGACAACAACTCGAGTTTCAACCTTGAAATTAATATGTTTGCCATCTTATGCTGTTGAGAATTCAGAAAAACCAGAGCAACATCAAAGTATTTACCTTTCGCTGGAGAGTCGCTTCAGGCTGACGCTGAATCATCCAGGCTGCACCTCATTTACCAAAGCGCTTCCCTTTTTTTGTAGTCATTTGTGTGTTTTATCAGCGACACGGCTGAACACTCACGACCACTTTTATATAATGTGAAGGTCACAACTGAAACAACTTTAGGACGCAGCAGCAAGTTTCATGTTTTGTTTGAGCATTCCTTAAAGATAACTCGGCGTCGGGAGGTTTTGTCTGCAGAGCTGATCCCCGGTTACAGAGAAATAAAAACGGTTTAAAGTGATAAAGTCCGAGTTGAGGAGGGTTTTACGACTTTGTAGGGAGGAAGTGAGGACTCTCAGGACGGCAGCAAGCATGAAAAGAGGTAGTGAGCATGCAAATACAGGAGGAAACCTGTAAATGTAGGGGGGAGAAAAAGCTCAGTGAACTGTCACTTTCCTCATTTCTACACCTCACGGCCTCATTTTGCTGCACCGATACTTTTGAGAAAATAACTGATTCGCGACAACGGCTAAGTTTATTGTATGTGGGTCTTTGTGAAACTCATGCATCTGAACGCTGTTAACGCACCGCTGCATGCACAGGACCGTGACCACGACGGCTTCCCCTCAAACCGACACTCGACCAGGCTTACAGTGGTGTCAGGCCAACGGCGAGTCGGAGAAACAGATTCAGTCGTTTGAAATAAAATAACTCGGTTGGAACATAAAATTGAAAAGAAGAAACAGAAACGGAGGAAAGTGCTGTGACTGATAAAAGAATAAAATAAAATATCAACACACAGATGCAGACGCCTGTAACGGAAGCTTGTTTACGTATCGGATTGGTGTAAGAACATCCTGCTGTATTTAAAATCAGCTCCACTTTCCCAAATAGCTGCTAAAGGACATTAAATATTGGCTCCATCTCCAAAATGACAAAAACAAGTGGAAGGAGATCTTATTAGTATTTCACATGAAAGCTGAGCTTTTGTTGTCTTTATTTACCGTGTGGGTGTGTGTGTGTGTGTGTGTGTGTGTGTGTGTGCAGATATTCTTCCTCTGTAGGTTTTGAGTTACACCGTTTCCGTGTCACTTTCAGGGCATTGTTCGGCGTTTCAATGTGCTCCGGCTTCCCAGACTGTTTGTGTGCACCTTGTAGTTTTCAAGTTACCTGTAGCTTTAGGTCCCAGAGGAGCATTTAAAACAGAGCGTGATACATTAAATCTTTTGTTATCTTATCGGACGCTGTTTTTTTTTTTTTTTTTTTAATCGTTATTGTGAATATCTGGGTCACAGGCTGGGTTTTGGGACCACTTGAGTCCGACTGGGTCAGGTAGCATATCATCCGGTACATGCAGCGTTCGTGGAGCTATAAAATCTCGTAAACCTCCAGACTGAAAGGCTGCTGAAGCTACAGATGCTGCGTCGCCTCCCGACTCCAAACCCTTCACATCGGCTGCTCTGCTGCACCGAACCTTTTTAGTTCGGCTGCACCGGCTCATAATCTGAGAGACTTTTTGTAATATTTGACATCTTTAACCTGGAGCAAAGGTGCAGATAAATGTTATCCACTTCATTTACAGTTTCATCCACAGACAGATGGATGATCCGGGACTACAGCCAGCGTACATGGATAAATAGGCTAATAAAGGGCTCAGATTTAACAGAAAATCTTTTGTCTCCATTGTCGATAAATCTTTTCATCGTTTCTGACTCCTCACTGCTGCCTGACGCTGAACTAAAACAATCATCAGTACCCTGGATGTGGTTCTGGTTCTGATCATTCACCAGAGGAAACTTTACAAGTGCATTCTGGGTAAAACTTTCCAGGTCCATATCAGCATGTGTGATGGTGGTTGGTCAGAACCAGTTCTAGACAATGGGAGGAACGTTTATACCATCATTTGACACCAGGACCATCTACAGACAGGACTCATAGCTGTATTTAGTCTATATTGAGCCATTAGATCCAGTGTTGAGACACCTGGATGGATGTAGAACTGATCTGGTGTCAGGTTCTACCAGAACCCAGATGTGTTCTTCCTCCTAAATGTCATGTGTCTATCTGCTGCACTGATGAAGTTTTGAGGCTCAGAACTGACGGAAGAAGTCCATTAAAGTGATCAATCTGGAGCCTCCTCTGTGGACTTCAAGGACCTGGACCTCTGGAACATTCACAGTCTGAAGGTAGAACTCCGGTCAGTAGATAAAGGTGCTGCACATCCAGAGCCAGATGTTCTGAGGAGGTCAGCCTGAAGGCACAGATGGATTTTTTCACAGAATGACGCAATGCTAAACCACCAAAATCTGCAGTTCCCCGATTGTCCTCCAAAAGTGAGCCAATCCCCAAAGACCTCCCTGTTAAAAGTGAGAGTGTTTGATGAGTTTGTTTGATGCGTTTTGTGGGTTTTGGATAAAAAGCAGCTCGTTTTGTACAGTCACGGAAAAAATGACCAGACCACCTTGTTTTCTTTCTTTCATTTTAATTCCTGGTACCACTGAAGGTCTGTTACCTGAAGAATACAATGAACACGACACAAAATGCAGCTGATTCCATCATCTTTTATGTCCTGTGTGACCTGCTCCAAGATCTCCAAGACAGACGTTCATTACTTTAAGAAACAACCAGCCCACCGTGGTGCTACCACATCGCTAGCTGGTGGCAGCAGGAAACGTCTTCCTACCCACCAGATGACCGAGCACTCATCTGTTCTGTGTCAGGAATCATCGTCAGACCTCCAGGGACCCTAACATGAGTGGCCACTGTGGAGACATGGGACTTGTTGGAAACCGACTTGTTGAAGCTGGTCTGAAGTCACACAGGACACAGAAGAAGCCCTTCATCAACCAAAGGCAGAGGAAAGCCCGGTTCCTCTCTGCTGGGACCACAAGGATTGGACTGGTGATGGTTGGGCTCAGGTTCTCTTTAGGGATGAACCCAATGTTCAGCTGATGCCCACTCCAGCCCACTTCCTGGTTAGGAGGAAGCCTGGAGGAGCCTCCAGACCAGACTGTCCTGCCCCTACAGTAGAACATGGGGGTGGATCAGGGACCATCTGGGCTGGTTCCAGTTTGGGTGGAACAGGGTGAATGGACCAGGTCATGTACAGGCTACTCTGGAAAACAGTCTTCTGCCATCAGCTGGAAAACTCTTTCCTGCCTCCAGTGACTGGATTTTCCAACCAGACGATGCCCCTTGGCACACGGCGAGGTCAGCTAAAGCCTGGATGGAGAACCAGAACACTGGAACCATGCCTTGGCCTGCTCCGTCACCAGATCTACATCCAACTGAAAACCTGTGGAAACCATCAAAGGCTAAATGGAGAAGCACAAGCCCACAAACAAATGTGTGAAACTATGGTTCTGCCATCAGGTACTAACTCCTGTGTGCATCATGTGACTAAAACAGACAGAAAAGAAAACATGGAATGTCTAAAAGCTCTGTTCTGGCAGCATTATGGTATAGCTACTGATGGAAGGACTTCAGTGGTTTTGGTTATTATCTAGAGAACCCTGGAACATGTCTGATATCAGCTCTCAGATTAAACTCTTATGAGCTATTTTTGTTGTTATCATTAAATTTGTCTAAACAAATGTACCTTCAGTGGTTCCAGGCATTAAAATGAACAAGACATGGAAGAAAACAAGGTGGTCTGATCATTTTTTTCATGACTGTGTGCAATAAAGATGTAGACGGCGGCGTCCGCACACCGGGGGGCGCTGCAGGAAGTGCTTGGTTAAATTGCACATTCATGCTGCCACGGTTCTCAGCCAAAGGACGTCCATTTCTGTGCCTGTGACCTTAAAGTGGTTCAGATCTTGTGACATGAGGTGGCCTCAGTTACTCAGCGATAAGGGTATTAACGTGAGTCATATACAACAATATAACATAATAGGCAGAATCAGAAACCAAACAACTCGTAGATTCTCTGTTGTTTTGGCCAGATAATATATAATATATGATATGACATGATATGATATGATGTATGATGTGATACAGCTCATCTCAAGAGGTCACAGTGTTTAAATTGTCTGAGACCCAGATTTGCACAATGCAAGGATGTAAGATAAGAGCACATTTTGATGTAATTGAAATAATTCTTTTGAACCTAAAGTTACAGCTAACCTGAAAGCTAGAAGGTGCAAACAGAGGGGACGTGATTTTGGGAAGGCCAGACTCGATGAGCCGACACGAACAATGCGATGAAAGTGACACAAAAGCGATGTAACCCAAAGCCCATTGTGACTGCAGCAATCCGGGAAAGACACACAATAGCTTGTTTACGACGAATAAGTAAGGTAGAGGTGAAGGGATATGTGCTGAAAAGAGCCATTGTTAATGTGACACTTGGCCTCAAGGCTACAACGAAGTTCTGGGAAATGGAGACAAGCCAGCGATCTGCAGGATAAAAGGCCGACGAGCAGTGGAGGAGGCTGCCAGAGGAGACTCAACACTCCAGCTGATCCAGAAGACAGCCAGTCCACCTTGTGAGTGTTTACATTGTTCTTATGAATGTCATTAACTCTGCTTCGTTGACTTGCAGTATGATGTTCTGCACATATACAGAGTTATATTTGTCAATTGTGAGCGTGCAAACGGATATTTTAAACCATTTTGAGAACTTCAGTATCATGCAAAGAATGATTTGAACAAACAAAAAAACTATTCGGTTAATTTATTATTGATTTTAAGCAAATCTTTACTTGTTTAAAAAAAAAAAAAAGGAAAATGGAGTAAATGAAGTTTGCTAGCAATCACAACACGTAACAAATAGAAAAACACGTGGCTCATGTCTGTAAGTGTAATCAATGATCTGAGTAACTTGTCATGGGTGCAAAACAAGCCCCCAAAAAACAGCTTCCCTGATGTCGATAACCAAAGTTTTTGCAAAGATGTGCAGATGACCTTTGCTGTCCTCGACGCCCGACTTTATGTAGATCTGCTGAGAAACGTGACCGACAGTTTTTCACGTCTCTGTTTTTGGAAGGTCCCAGTTGTGGTCATCATGTTCGCCGGCAAGACGCTCGGCGTGCTGCTGGCGCTCTGCACCGTTCTGGCCCTGAGCCGAGGAGGTCCGATCAACGCCACCCAGCCCAAGGTCATTGGCAGCCTCTGCGAGTACAAGAAGATGTACTGCTCTTACTATCACGGAGTGTACTGCCCGGAGTGCGACGCCGACGGGAATTTCATCCCGTGGCAGTGCTCATCGATGAGCGGGTACTGCTGGTGCGTCGACGTCAAGACCGGGGAAGAGCTGCCGTACACGAAGAGGCCGCTGGGCTCCGACCCTATCGACTGCGGTGAGTGGTTGTTATTTTGCGGCGTTTCTTTAGAGTGCAAAACTGTGAAACAGCAGTAAGAATAGTGGGATCTTCAGGTTTCCAGTGGTTTGCTAATCAACAGCAGTTCTGGTTTTTCTATCTCTAACCAACGCAGTCTCCGCAACTTTATGTTCATCCAAAAATTAAACCACATCCTCAGGTACGTTTTGAAAGGAAGGCGATTCTGTTGTGGCCTGTGACGCGACGTGTCGAGGTTCGATAAAGCCATAAAGTCTGAACCTAAACACCAGAGTTCCATCCGTTTCATTTACATCCAGTTTTACACTCGTGCTTGTTCGACGTGGTAGAAGCGTGCTTAATGCTCCGCACCAATATGACTTGGTCAGGAAAAAGATCAGGGTTCGGTTTAAAACAAGAGCCTTTCACTTCATAATTGCAGCGTCTCCTCCATTTTCTGGTCCCATGTATGATTGGTTGGCTTAAAGGGAGCAGCAGTGAAGCAAAAGATTACAAGATACATCGGCGAGAACTCCAGCAGAGATCGCATTTCCCCTAAAACTTAATCAAGAAGACAATGGAGCCATAAACAAAGATCATTGAGTCGAGACTGAGTTGGATGAAAGAGGTTGAAGTCAGGTGGCTGTAGAGGAAAGTCCACGGCCGTCAGCACTTGTTGGTCTTCTTCGGTTTAGCAGCATCAAGCTACAGTCCAAGTACAAATATGTTAAAATGTTCACACACGCATAACTGAGTCTAACTGGGTTTCTTTTGCTTCTAGAACACTACTACCACTGCCCAGAAGGCTGGACTTACTACGACGAGAAGTGCTACAAATTCGTCGAGTACGCAAAGACATGGCTTGAAGCTGAGGTGAGGACCGATGGAGCGACAAAGACGAAAGACCAGCCACTCAGCCCTTCACACATGTTGAATTTAGGGCTGGTTTTGTTTAGACAGAACCACATCTGAACCGCAGTTCTTGCCACAGATCGAGTTAAACTCCTGGAACGACTGAGCCCGTCATCGGTGCTTCGATGATTGTTGAGTTTCCACCCAATAAGTCTCGCTGGACATGAGCTGACGATGAAACTGAGCGGCTCATGGATTTGAGAGTTAATCAACCAAACCTGCATTTAAAACTCAAATCATCGCCCCGCTGCGACTTGTAATGAATGAAGTGTATCTTTTCACTCTTGCTTCATCCGGATTTTCCAGATTCAAAATGTCGGCTGCGACCAGAAGACATTAGCAACCCCAGAGTTCTTTGTCGTAGCGCCCGTTGCTAGCTAAACGGCTAAATGCGCTCCGATCCACGCGACCATCTCCTCAGGTGGCTGCTGTCGTCCAACACCGCAGAAGTCACAGTGTTTCACTGAAATCGCTTTATTCTCATTTATGTAATAAAAAAAAAGAAAAAAAAAGCGTAGTTTGTCATGAAATCCCCCGTGCTGTACGAGAAGCTAGATGAGGTATGAAAGTTATCGTTGTACAAAGTGAAAACATATAACAGCCATGAACCAAATCAACAGTAGAGAACAACCAAGCAGATCTTCGTTTGAGCCCCATCAGAATAAAGGCCGCCCGTCCCTACTTGTGACGAATGACGTTCATCTTATCGGTCTTGCTCGTTCCAGATTTACTGTCAGTTCGAGGGCGGCAACCTGGCGGCGATCCACAGCTATGAGCAGAACCACTTCGTCCAGGATCTGATCAAAGAGGTCACCCACAGCTTCCCGCTCACCTGGATCGGCGGCTACGATTCCATATATGTACGGAAATACTGAAATTCATTCTGTGTTATTACCCAGCCCTGTACACTGATGGATCGCTGTAAATCTTTGAGGTTTCTTTTGGGGGGGGAGGGTTGCAGTTTAATAATAATTATGTGTGAACGTTTGTGTCCATCTGCAGCCAGGTTACTGGATGTGGCGCGACGGCTCCAAGTTCCACTACGAATACTGGTACCAAGGCAGCAAACCCACCACCGCGTATCACTGCCTGATGATGAACTATCACCGTAATACTACACACACACACACACACACACACACACACACACACACTATGAACTTGACACCAGGGATGCTTTTTAAACTCGTGTTCCTGTAGATGACCGACTTCATCATGTCTACCAGAGAGGCACATTTAAACTGTTTTCTTAACCGACTGGCGACCGTTTTAATAACTGCTAAAACAAAGCTGTAGTCTGAGTGACGCCTCCTCTGGTCTCTACAGTGTTAAACAGGAAGAGGCTCCCCCTGGTGGAACAACCAGGTACTACAGCTGGTCTACGATACGCTCGCTGACGTTTGTCCTTTGTGTGTTTTGCCCTATCAGTTAATATATTTTTAATCGATTATGGGCAATCGCGCTCGCTTCCGTTTATTTTATTTTTTTTGCAGGTTTCCACGTCAAAATCTAAAATGATCTCTCGCCACCAACGTATTTGTCACAGTGTGGCAGTGACGACTCACTGTCCAGGTGTTTGCCAGTGCAGAGCTTGTTTTCCGAACATGCCTCAGGATGTGGCCGAATGCTCCACACGGACATACCGAAGCAGCAGCAGCGGAGCCATTATTCACATCCTTGTGTCAGAGCTTTGACGCCCTACCTCAGCTTGATTGTTTAATCGCTTGCTCGTCAGCAATTAATCCACGATTGTGTGGCCGCTCCATTGAAAACCTCAAGTCGTCCCAACAAATCTTCTCAGTGGACAAACAAGAGAGAGATCTTTAGCTTTGTGACGTACTTACATTCTTTACGCTAAGAGACTAGCTAGCTAGCAGACAGGAAACACGACTGCTTCATCGGTCTGCTGTTTGGTCATGCGTCGCCTAATCTTCCTCACGGTTGCTTGATGCTGCGGGTGTTCACACTTTGGATTACATTCAGCACTTTCACTGCAGTTTTGTTTTTAAAGCCTGTGAAGGAGCTGCAATGAAAGGATCCTTAAAGTCTGATCTCTTTGTCGTCTTTTTTTTTTTTTTTTCTTTGCAGTTGAGTTGCAGTGGTACTCAGCCAACTGCAACGACTCCCTCCCGTTCGTCTGCTGCAAGGACATGTGAAGTCAGACAGCGTAAAAGAACTGAACACAAGGTGGCGCCAAAGTACTGGGCTGCTCAAACTGAGCCCACAAAAAGGCTTCCCTTCTTCCTCGGCTTTTAGAGGTTAGTTTTATTCGCAAAGATGTTTCCACTGCAGATATCTGGCTAGTCCACCTGCCGAGATCTCCAGCTTTTTTATTTTTCTGCTGATTATCTGTCTTTCTTTTTTTTTGTATTGAATAAATACAATCGAGCATGCTGCAAGAACTGTACCTATCATAGCAGTAAGACGAAGCACTAAAAAGTAATAAAAAAAAATACATCAACTGAAATGGTGAAGGTTTTTGTCACACAATAAGCAAATTCAGAGCTTCTACGATGTTTAATGTTGACACAGATTTGGTGATTTAGTTCGCAAAGGGGACTAAAACGCGGCTTTTTGTCCAAAGTTCTCAACCGCAACTAACGATTATACTTGTTTCTCAATTAAGCAGCAAATTGTTTGGTGAAAACCCAAAAGTTTACTGTGACAGAGGTGCAAAGGAACTTTCAGGAAGCTGCAATCAGACGAGTTTTTAGGGATTCATTTAACAGCCGACGTCCAACAGGTCCAGTCGTTGTATTTGAGGTTCGTTTAAACCACAAAAGTGCAAATCAAACCACGTCTGCACCTGTTTACAGGCTTGAGTTCATGTGTGGGTGTTGAGGACATGGATTTCATAACCCAACGCTGCCTTTTGGACTCGGGCAAACATCGGTTGCTCCATCGGCCCAGTTTCCCGACAGCAACAAGAGTCACTGAGACTTCTTTTTTTCTTTTGCGAAAACGAATGTCGTGAACTGAACTTCAAAAACAACATCCGGCGAGAACGTTTAAAATGATTCATCCAGAAAAAGTTCAGATTCTCCTAAATAGCTCCCATCCGAGATAAGAACACCTTGCAACCTCGAGGTGAACTAATATTTGGATGAAGCCCAGTTCGCTGAATGGGCCCGAGTTCAGATCGGGTAAAACATTAAGTCCCAGCGTTTCTCTCAGTTCTCACTGCTAGTGTGACGGATAAAACAGCTCCAGGCGGTTGAAAGTGAGCAAAGAGGGTTCGATAACCCGTCGTTTTCTGAGCATCAAACACCAGAATGATGTTCTGATTGAGAAATGTTGACTTCGTTCTTCATTTGGTTGAAAAACATCAGAATCAGCGTGAAAATGTGAACGGTTGTTTTTTAACTTTTTGACTCGGTTTCCTCTCACTTTCCCTCCAAAGTCCTGCACATGTGTGGAAACAGAACGAAGGAGGAGAGAGAACTCAGAGATTCTTCTGTGCAGCATTTAGAAAGAATAAATTAAAGGAAAGCAAAAGTTGAGTTTATGTGATTAGTTATGCTGCATAAATGGAATAATCACACGTGTTTCCAACATCTGGAAGATAGCTGGTGACCCAAATTTGTTTCCATACTTGTCTCACTGCCCACAGTTCAGCTGAAAACTACCAGAACTTTTGTCTCATTTGTCTATAACGGCTTCACTGTTGGACCAAAGACCTCAGAGTTTTTTAAATTAATTTATTTATTTTGTCTAGAATCTGTTTCGAGCAAACTCTTCATTTTTGGTGAATTATAACCAACCCTGAAACCACAAGTCACACACGATGAGTTCAAGGACTGCCGGCAGTCGATAAATCCGATGACTGTCTCTGTTTTCGGATGAATTGTTTCACTTTGGTTAAAACAGACGCAGTTTCTAAAATGACTTAAATTTGGTGGCGGTGACGTTTCAGCCGAACCGTGAAGTCTGTCGACAGAATGCGAAGCCTAAACGGTGGCGGTCACTGTTTACGCATCTGACTCTCAAACAAACTCTGGAGTCCTTTTGCCCTTTTGTTCCGGGACCAACTCCAACAGACTCAGGCTGGATGATGTTGTTGACCGACTTCAGCAGATCAATAGAAGTGGGAGAGGACGGGGGGATAAATAGCCGATCGAGTCAGATTTCAGGCACAGAGAAGGCAGCGGAGGCACACTAAGGGAAGCAGAGCGACCGACGACAGTTCGAGAGGGGAAACTTTATTGATAGCGTACGATGAAGACGCTGCTGGTGCTGTATTTGTGCGTTTACGTCGCCTGGGCTCAGGACAATCTGGACTATGACGACTACGGCACGGTGAGTCTGCTTCTGTGCTTTTACAACAAAATATGCATCTGGACAAACCTTGTGTTGCACCTTTACTGCATTTCAATGTGTAAAATCTGTGTTTATAAAAAAAAAAAAAAAAAAAAAAAACGAAGTGAAAAGTGATTTATTTGTTCTTTAGGTCAAACATTTCGGTTGGATTTGTGTTTGTTTTTTACTTTTCCACATCAGAAAGCTGATTTCAGACCTAAAAATTAAAAAACAAACAAACAAAAAACGGCACTCGTCAGATAATAAAACGAATCAGAAATTGAATTAACGAGTTCCAAATCAAGCATGAAGCGCTGAAGACGTCCACGTTCTTGAAAGTGAAGGAAAAACGGGACTTTGTTGTTTAAAAAAACAAACAAGTTGTGACGTAATTTGCGTTTCATTAAAGGGCTGAATTTACTTTTTCTGATAATGTTCAGTGACGCCGTTGTTTAACAGTTTATGTTTTTGAGTTGAACTAATTATTTTACTTTTCTGTGCATAAACATGAAGCTGAACGTCTTGCATGTAGTTTTCATGTTTAAATACTGTTACTCTGGTTTTACTGCACTAATTGCTCAGATTCTATGTTAATTAAAAACACATTTTGGTTAAAGACGAGGCTCCTAAACAGCAGAAGACGCAGAGAAAAGCCACTCGATCCTTCAGTTACATCAATTTTTCCCTTTTTTCTTCCACAGGACGCGAATGCATCAAACAAGAACGCAACGGTACGTAGAACAAACCTGCCGCGATTTCTGCACGTCCGTCTGTCACTACGTTACGATTCATTTTTTTAACCGCCGTTTGCCCGCAGACCGGAACAAGCGTGGACGCTCGTGGTCACCGCCCGCTAATGAAAGGCAGAGAGAGCTACAGCCGGAACCGCTACAGCCCTCCGCCAGTCGGCGGCGTCAGCAGGTACGGCAACACAAACGACCTGACTGCTGACTGACAAACCGACGGGGGCTTGAGTTGAGTTTGTTGCCTCCGGCTGTGTCGGAGTCTTTCCCCCGAGGTCATCAAACATCTGCAGCATCAATTTGTCTGAATGACGTCGAGGAGCTTTAGCAAACTCCTCGTTTTTGAAAAGGGCGAGACGAGACACAAAACGACACACAGTGGACAAAACAACGGCACAAACCTGAGTTAAAGTATTTCAGCAGGTTTTTGGTTTTTTTTGCTCAAAGTTCAGTCACAGAATAGCTTTTTTGTGTGGGTTTTTTTTCGTAGGTATCGCGGCCGCCCGACTCCGGCGCCGGTCGGAGGTCAGCAGGTGCAGGAGAAGGAGCCACAGCCCGACGCCGGAGGATGCACTCATGCTTCGGAGATGATGGTAGGAAACAAAGCCGCTCGAAGGCCAAACCTATGTTTATGGTTTGGGTCAGAGGTTTTGCTGCGATGTAGTTTTTGAGTCTTGTAGGGTTTGTCCTGTGTCAACTCGGCAAGAGGAGGGGAGGTCAGTTTCTTGACCGCCTTGCAGGAATGATCTTTGGCATCCGAGACTGAAAGCTGAAATTCCAACATTTGCATAATTTCTCACGCAATTTGGAAACCGAACGGGGACGCCACTTTCAGACGTCCGTATGTCTTGAAGTAAACGTACTAGAGTCTCCACATGTTCAGAGAACGCAGCACATTGTGGAAATCAAGACTCAGCTTTTGGCTGAAGAGCTTCCAAATTCAGGATTTTGTTCGGAAATAGTAAAAAAAAAAAAAAAAAAAGAGATCGCTGATGCTTGGAAAGCTTTCATATGTTGGTAGAAACAGGAGCTCTGGCCAATCAAAGCTGTCAAAAAGGTAAAAACGTAGTGACCTTCTGAACGGCCAGACGGACATGTCGGACCATGTGTAGGACTCATGACTTCTGTTGTAGACTAACGATACATTTTTCCGTCCGCCAGGGCGTCTTGTGTCCCACCGGCTGCGAGCTGAAGACCACGCTGCTGAAGCAGGAGACTGACGTCAAGACGGTAGGTTGGCTGTTGCAGCTTCTTTGTGCCTTTCTGTTCGTCTCAGCAAAGTTTTGTCACGTGAACATTGGCGGGGCTGGAAACGAGTAGAGTTTCCATCCATACGTGTAGTTTATTGTATATTTAATGAAACGTTTCACCTTCATACCACAAATACGTTCATGTTACTTTAAGCACATAGAGATGAATCCAAATGTCACACTTGCTAATGGACTTTATGTCGTAGTTTGTCTTGTTTTGTGTCTGTTTTTGGTCATTTTGTGTGACTTTTTGGTTCGTTTTTGTCTCTTTTTTTCCAGTATTCATTTCTTTTTGGCCATTTGGGCTCTCTGTTGTCATTTTGTTTAGCTTCTTTAGTCACTGTGCATCTCTTAGTTGTTTCATGTCTCTTTTTGGTCTGCTTTTGGCCATTTCTTTTTACTAATTTGTGCTCCCGTGTTACGTTTGCTTGTCTTTTTGTTAACTTTGCATTTCTTTTTGGCCATTCTAAAGCTCTTTGCAGTCATTTCGTGTCTCATTTTGCCTCCACCTTTAGTCATTTTCGTGTTTTGCATCTGTTTTTTTTTTTGTATGTATGTCTTTTGTTTCACTCATTTTGTGCCTGTTTTTGGTTGTTTTGTGTCTTTTTTTTTGTAATTTTTAATGTCTTTATGGTTGTTTTGAGTCAGTTTTTACTGCTTTTGTGATTTCTGTTCCATCTTTTTTTTTGTTGTTGTGATTTTATGATGGTTTCAGTTCACTGACGTAACAGAATCTCAGGTTATACTTTTTACGAGTGTATAAATACGCTTCAGTCGATCGATTCTTCAGTTAAATCTTTGGGAAATCATTTGCTTTGCTGCTGTGTTGTTGCCGAGCCGACGTCGACGTTTCCATTTTTTAAATTCCTTTTCGCCGTCTGATTCCCGCAGAGCATCAATCAACTCAAGCCTCAGGTGGACGACTTGTCCCGATCCTCCAACAACATCTTCAACTACGTCAACAGCATGTCCAACTCTCTGAGGGAGAGGCAGCGAGTCTTTAACGGTGAGAAAGATGATGACGTTGGAGCGTTCACGTCAAAGCCGCCGTGTTGCATATTCAGATATTTAAGGGGGACGGCTTTTTGGAACCGATGTACATTTGTAGTGAAAATTCAAGTCTTGGGGTCAAAATTGTAACTTTACTTAAAGGCCTTTATTTGTTATTTTATTGGGACATGGTTTTTTAAAAAAAACTACCTCCTCTGATGCACTTTCTGTTACCGGATGTTCACAGACAACAGCCGAGTGGTGAGTCAATACACCGACCGGGTGGAGGAACAGCATGCCTACATCAAGGAGACTGTGGACACGCTTTTCCCATCAAACATCAGAGTGCTGCAGGTAAATTAGAGGTAAACCGAATGCTCAATGGGATTAAAGCGACGAGACCGCAAATAAAACAATGTTTGATGGCTGCAGGGAGTTCTGGACAAGATCCGGCTGAAGATCCAGAAGCTGGAGAAGGCCATCCAGGCCCAGAAGGAGGAGTGCAAGGAGCCGTGCAAGACCAAGTGTCCCATACCAGTGGTGTCCGGTAGGTGTGGCAAAAACAACTCCATGATACCACGAGAAGAACATCAGTGATTAGTTAGAGTCACAGTTCATCTTCTGGGGAGCAGGAATTGGATCATAGCAACCAAAAAGTGGCGCGAAACGACTACAAAGAGACAGAAAACAACCACAGTGAGACACAAAATGACCACAAAGAGACAAAACAGCCACAAAGAGACACAAAACGACCACAAAGAGACACAAAACAGCCACAAAGAGACACAAAACGACCACAAAGAGACACAAAACGACCACAAAGACACAAAACAACCGTAAAAGAGACACAAACTACTCGTAAAGAGACACAAAACAACCACAAAGCGACACAAAATGACCACAAAGAGACACAAACTGCTTAGACATAGACACAACAGGTCTATATGGGTCATCTCATGCGGATCCTGAATGCGTATGTGAAGTTTCATTGGGGTCTGGTTGGGACCAAAGCACCGGGCACATAGCAGAACAGACAGAACTGTGTCATCTTCCGGAGCTACTCAGAAAATGTAAACTGTAGGACAATATGACGAGGACGTTTTTTGTTGTGAAATCTTCTCTGGTTGTGATCCAGGTAAGGAGTGTGAGGATATTTTCCGTCGTGGAGGACAAGATTCCCAGATGTACCTCATCCAGCCCGATGCCTTCACCACTCCATACAAGGTGTACTGTGATCAGTCCACCCAGAACGGAGGTGAGAACCGATCCAGTTAAAATTTGCACTAGTGAAGGCCTCAGTGTTTCTCTCTAAGACTTCTCTTTTTCTTCCCAGGATGGCTTCTCATCCAGAACAGGCTCGACGGCAGCGTTGACTTTGGCCGACGCTGGGACGAATATCGTCGCGGATTCGGGAACATCGCCTTCGATGCTGGCAAGGGTCACTGTGAGACTCCTGGTGAGACTTGTTGAACAAAAGATGAAACCATTCCATGATCTACCTGTACACTTTATTTAAACCTCTGAAAACCCGCCTGCAGCTCTGAAAGTTGCCAGAATTATACCGTTCGCCGTCGCGACAAGATTGTAGAAACAGTCAGAATAGGCAGATTTTCAACTGCCCTTGAACTCATCATGTGTTACTTTCATTTCCATGGGGAAAGACAACCATACCTAAGCTAAAAAAAAAAATCTGATTTAACATTTCTGTCCATGAGATACCTCTGACGAGTATTTTTAATCAAACTAATACTGCAAAGCCTTTTTAAAAAGCAAGGCAGGATCCATTTTATCTGCTCAGTGTCCCGGTCTTTCCAAAGATGTGATAATGTCGATTAAAACCAGTAATAGTGCCGTACTCAGGTTGTTTATTTGTTTCCTTGTCTTGCGACAGGTGAGTACTGGCTGGGTAATGACCGCATCAGCCAGGTGACCAAGATGGGCCCGACTGAGATTCTCATTGAGATGGAGGACTGGACAGGAGCCAAGGTGAGTCCTCAAGGTTTCCAACCGCAGCAGAAATGATTACTTGCAAATAACACTTGTCTTTCTACTTGTCTTATAATGTTTTCGGTTTGGTTTTGAGGACCTTCTCTTGGGCTTCAGGACATTATGATGTACAGTCTGTAGAGCCCCACTGATCCTGAGTTTTAGAGGCTTGTGCCGCTCTTGACTGAAAGTGAAAAAAAAACATTCCAGCACTGTATTTCCTAAACTAGTTAGCGACGTACTGTGAAGATACGACCATCTGATCAGCTGTGATGCTTTCACATTATGGCATGGCACCATTTCTAAATGAGCCCTTTTTTCTGCATTACATTCTGCAAAAGAAAGAAGAGTTTATATCAGTGATATCTGCCACTACTGACTGATAAATTTGGCCGGTTAAAATCTCAGTTGGGTTCGAGAAATTTCATCTTGCTAACTTTCATCCTGACGCTGAGTTGGGTTCGCGTCATGATCAGCTTGATGAGGAATTAAAATTTCGACTCAGGAACCTTTAAGTTGATACGGTTAGAGAACAGTATCTACTTTAAATACCCTTACATACCGAAAAGTGGGAACTTTGTCCTACATTTTCTAATCATGGGTGTGTCAGTTAGGAAGGAATCTGAAAAATGTTTCCTACTTTCAGGTCAATGCCCAGTACCGCCAGTTCACCATCCAGTCCGAGGCATCCAACTATGTGCTGGCCGTCGATGGTTACTCTGGTAACGCTGGCAACTGTTTCCTGGAAGGATCCCTTGAGCTGTTTGGTGAAAACCGTACTATGACCATCCACAACGGCATGATGTTCAGCACCTACGACAGAGACAACGACAACTGGTGGGTGTCCTGAAACACATCGAGTAGTTCACTCAGTGTCCAACCGGCAAGTTCTCTGATGTGTTGCAAAACTTTTCCCTCTGTTTTTTTTCTTGTTGGGGGGGACTGCCATTGGCCTTGAGTATGTTTAAGGATTAAACTCGCTAAAGTAGTTTCTCTTTAACGCAAAAACGTCAACACATACTGGCTGTGTAACATACAGAGTGCCCACATAGAGGGCCGTACATCTACTAACAAAATGTTTCAAAAAATTGGCTCCTGGTTTCATCTTGGTAATGTTCATTGTGCATATTTTTAAAAACAAAAGATTCATTAACACAGGTAGGGATAAAGTCTGTAGCTTCGAAGCTAGATTCAAGAGTTTTATTGTCATATGCACAGCAAAACAGGTAGTTGTACTACACAATGAAATTCTTACTCTGTTCAATCCCCCGAAAAAGACGATACATTAAAGATAAATAAAACAAGCCAATAAGAACAGAATAAACAATTAAAAACAACAGTAATAAGAAGCTAAGGGAAGCCATGGTGGCCATGGTTGCAGTTACCAGTGGAATGCTGCAGTGAACAGTCCATTTAAGCGCATCTAAAAATGTTTCCTATTCGCAATAACTGAAAGCTGTTGTCTTGCAATTGGTTAGCCAGATTTTTTTTCAGCTATTTAACACGTTTCTGTCCTTGTTTGCGCCCATCAGGAATCCTGGTGATCCATCGAAGCAGTGTTCCAGGGAAGACGGAGGCGGCTGGTGGTACAACCGCTGCCACTCAGCCAATCCCAACGGCCGATACTACATAGGCGGAGCCTACACGTCGCAAATGGCCAAGCACGGCACAGACGACGGCGTGGTGTGGATGAACTGGAAGGGAAGCTGGTATTCGCTCAAGGCCATCAGCATGAAGATACGGCCATACTTTGCCTCCAGATAGTCATGCTGGAGGTGTCAACACATACAAGACATACAGGAAATGGTCAGAAAGACCCAGAAAGGTTCAATGTTCCAGAAAGAATTTATTTTTAATGACATATCAGTTTTGTTAATGCTGAACCACTGAAAGTTTGTTCTTATTTGGCTGTGGCCTGTATGCTAATGGACACACACATTTACACGATCATCACAGAGTCTGAATAAAATCACACAACAAGGATGAAGAAATTAAAATCTTGCATTAAAAAAAGTGACATGCAGCATTAAAGTGAAGGACTTATGTGTAGAGAAGATGTTTTAATGTCAGACAGATGTGTTTCCTTCAACTTGACGCAGAGAAACCGGATGAGCTGTGACTAAATCACCTGTGATGTGTCCTTTCTTGTGATGTGTGACGTCTTTGTTGTGCACCGTTAGTATGAGTTGATGCCAACTGTACTCTGCTACTCAATAAATGAGCCAAACTGTGTGCAACCTTCTACTGAGCATGTTTTCATTTTGTTGCCAGCGAGTCACAAATGGACCAATTCTGATCCTCTCCTGCAACCAGTAGACCTTCAGTAGACATTCCATATTGATGTAATAATATGTCAGGTATGAATATCAGTGTAGTGTGGCGACCATGCCACTATTTTCTGTTGTTTATGGGATAAAATAAATATATTTAGTAGCTGCCAACTCGTGCTGCCTCCCTCCTCGTTGCAGTCTTGAGCCAGGGCTGTGACAAATGGCGGCTCATCCTTGATTCCATTGTAGCTGATTGAGTCCTGAAGACCAGGGGGGAGTTCACTCAGATTCCGCTTAGAGGGACGATGATGATTCCATACGCTTGCACAGATCCTCAAAAGTGGTTATGTTAAGAGCTGTTAACCAGCGTTTAAAGTGTCTCATCAGATGTCTGGCCAAGACAAACAACATCCCTACACCTCTAAGTTCTCTTGTTCTATCTGCTGGAGAATTTTCTCAGTTTCATGTCCTTTTCTTAGTTCCAAATCATGCTTCACTCAATCATGCTCAATAACTGCACGGAAACTTTTAAGGACTCTGCAGCTGTTTCTGTTGCCTGCTCATCCTGTCCTGTTAAAACTCCTATTTCTGACAATTTTTTTTTTATATCTCAAAGTGGCTTAAAGATTTGCTTTGAGGGTCTTGTCTCGCACATTCACATCATAAAGCCGTTCTAAGCAGCTGCGCATTTCAAAGCTTCATCAGATGGAGCGACAGCAAACGCATCGACACTTGCCATTATCAAACTTCTCACGGTGATGAACACACAGTCCAGCCATTTTCATACCATCATTATTCCTTCCTGGTCTTCACGTGGCTACTTGTGGTCAATAAAGCCAAATGTGTCTGGAAAGCGAGTAGCAAGCTAGCAACCCTACCAAAACCTCAGATGTGCTCCTGGACAAAACCTCCACCCACGTTGGCGATGACACTACCCCAAACACCGATGAACCCAAAGGAGAATGCTGCAACAGCCTGCCAGGGAAAACTCCTAACTGCTGACCCGGTAGCACCCGACGAACCCAAATCATCTGCCTGGTCCTCCTGATGCCGGGACCAACCATCCACGGCATCCAGGAACAAAGATCACCTCGTGAATTTGAGGTAAAACAAACCATATCACAAAACCATTTGGAACACATGAAAAGATAGAAATGACACACTTAATACCAATGAGAGTATTTATTAAATACAACTACTAAAAAAAATAAGGCCTTCGTCCAGATTGTCACGAAAAACTGTCAGGAGGTAGTACACAGTGCAAATAGTCTAATGAATGGAGT